ACCTTAAGAAATATTCAACATCAATCTTAAGAAATATCCAACATCAAAACATAAAATATCCAACATCCAAATGTGATGCCTGGTATCGGCTGGGAAACATGGCTATGAGGGGGAGGATCCACTGCAGCTTGACGACACGAAAGCTTCTCCTGACGCTCCTCCTCTTGAAGTCTATCTGACTCCTCCTGACGTTTTTTCCGCTCAGATACTGTAACGTTGCGTCCGAGAACCCTTGATTTTTCCTTGCCCCTTCTTTCGCTCATTGTTGCCTGCTATCAAGAAAATAAAATTATTTATTTTCAGAATTGTAATTGACAACCATAAATCTTTTAACTATACATAATAATTATTTACAACCATAAAATTTATGAATTCCAATACAAATTATATTATCAAATACTAATTATATTAATCATCACAAACCCTCGTACTAATTCTTACCCTTTCTTTCGCTTATTTTACCAACTATCAAGAAAATAAAATTAATTCTTCTTAGTATTGCAATTAACAATCCTATATTCATTAACTATTTATAATCATTATTAACAATCAACAACTTTTTTAATTCAAACACTACTTATATTGTCAAATGCTAATTAACATCCTCTCATCACACAACAACCGCAACAAACAGATTCTTTTCTTCCTTCCCATTATAAAATGTCATATATTGATTATAATTTACCATTCAAATTTATATATTATTAATTAAAATGAACATTCTAATCATTAACATTTCAAAATGGGTCGGGCGGGTCGGAAAACGGGTCGGACCAAGGTTCGGGCGGGTCGAAAAACGGGTTGGACCAAGGTCAGGGCGGGTTGGAAAACGGGTCGGACCAGGGTCAGGGCGGGTCGGAGACCGGATCGGACCAGGGTCGGGGCAGGTGGGCTACCTGGCTCCGCCGGATCCGCGCGGGCGCCCTGCCTGCGTCTACCACCGGCCAAATCGATCGCCCTACCTGCCTCTAGCCACTGGCGACGGGTTTTCAACCCGCGACGTCGGCGCAACTCAACCAAACGAGAAGAGAGGGAGAGAGAGATCTACCTCTGGCGGGTCTGAGCAGAAGCAGAGGGCTAGAGGCGGACGATGATTTGGAGGCTTCTCCTTCCTCCTCGGCGACAGTGCGGCGGATCTGGGCTTGGGCGAAGATGCTGGCGGCGACGGGTCTCGGTGGCGGCGACGGGTCTTGGTGGTGGAGGCGAGTCTGGGTGAGGGTGGCGGCGACTTCCTCTCCTTCTGGATGGCGCCGGAGCTCTGGGCGAGGGGTGAGGGTGGCGGCGACTTCGGCGACGACTTCCTCTCCTTCTGGATGGCGCCGGAAAACTGGGTGAGGGGTGAGGGTGGCGGCAGGGTCTGGGTGGCGGCAGGGTGAGTCTTAGGCGAAAATAGGGTAAGGAAAGGGTGGGTCAATTTAGGGTTTAGGTTAAATGAGGGGTAAATTCGTCCATGTATGTAAGTTTAGGGCTATAAATTCAAAAACTTAGGGCGACAAATAAGAATTCAGGAACAAAAGAGCTCAAGTTGCAGTTTAGTCGAAGAATATCAGTAGAATCATCTTTCAACATCTGGCATATTTTTATCTTCCATTGTAAAGAATATAACTAATTATATCAATTTGAGTATGCAAATTTATAAGGTGCTTAACCAATGGTGGACAATTGAAACAGATAGCAAAATACGAATGAGTGTCTCCATAAACTTGAAACCCAAGATCATGCTAAACATTGACATGTATTCTTTTATCCTACTTGCAACGAATGAGTTTATACGATCATTTCAATTGATTATAGAAACATAGCATTCAAACTATAGGTGCATTGTGTTCAAATTCTTACACTATGTTTGGGAAGGGGTGTAAATGGAAGGGGGTGCAAGTTTGGAGGGGTAAACACAAGTTCCAAGGTGTTTACCCCCGTTTGGTTATTTTGTAACAGTAGGGGGGTGCAAAACGTGAGCGTAAATTCACTGTTTCGGCTTACCCCCCAAATTGGGGTGCAAGGGAAGGAAGGAAGGGAGGGGGAAGGGGGAGGAGGGGAATTATGAATTTTTAATTAGACTATAATTACATAATAATTAATATTATTAATTTTTCTTATATCTATATTAGTGTAGAAGTTGTTTGGGGTTGACCGTTTGACTCAGAGAGCAAGTTTGTCAATGTTCGCCTCGTCAAATCGATATCTCTTAGTTGACCCGAATTTGCATTGAAAATTAGAGATAAGAAGCATTTGTTGAAAAGATAGAGAGGAACAGTTTAGTTAACTCGATTTACTTTAATAAGTAGTTAAAGCTTACAGATTCGAACGTGTTTGACTAAGTTTGACCATATTCAATTTAAAGTTAGGCACGAGAACCCCCTTAGGATGACCAGTTACGAGTTGGATTTCGAGTTTCGAGGTTGCTCGACCAATGATTATTATTGTTGTTATAAATAATTATATTTGAGCATTATTATATAATAATTATTTTTATTAAAATTATTTTTATTTATTATTTTTATTATTATATATTGAATTTTCATGTTTGTGATAATATTTTATAAATTGATAAATCTATTTTATAAAAATATAATTACTTACTTTTTACTCTATTTGCACCCCCCTACTTTTTCATCCAAACAACAATTTACCCCTCCACTTACACCCTCCACCAAGTTGCACCCCCCAACAATTTACCCCTCAACTTGTACCCCCCTCGAACTTGCACCCCCCTTGTTGCCAAACATAGTGTTAGTAATCCACCCAACAAGCTGGTGCACTTACCTAGCTTACTTTTAATGTGGAACGGAAAAAGAGGAAGTCCCATTTTAAAATTCCTGCATCCAGAGATAAAATTGGAAGGATATTTGTCACAAGAAATTAGTTATAATCATATTGTTATTGTGAATTTTGTTAAAATATGATAGTACTACACTGATTAATACACACATATTGCAAAAAAATGTATTTATACAAATATTTTATATGGGTCACAAACAAGAACTAATGAGAAGTAACAGATGTTTGAGATTGGTGTACGTAGAACGCTTATGTTATGAATTTTATCTATGGCCAACTTCCTTTCACCCTTTGTAATATTTTTATACTTTAAATGTTTATTGTGCCATTCAAAAAGCTGTGCAGTAGGATTTTCTTAATGGTTGTGGGAATTAGTTAATAATCTACATAATAATTTATAGTAGAATTAGAAAACTATCACCGCCATTTAATATTTTTTGGATGGAGAGTGTTTTTGTGGACGAGCAATTTCGAAAGCCGAAATGCTTCTGGTCTGCGTTAGCGCGGATGTTAAACTCTCTTTGGATTTTAGTAGGTCCTAACACTCATCCGGCGCACCAAGAAGTATGCTATCTTTGCTACTGCCTTCCTTTTTATCCTGCAACGGTAACTACATTGCCAAAATTTGCTCCCTTCAATTTCTGCCGGTATCTTTATTTGGTTTCAATTTAAGTACTCGGGGTTAGGTTTTGTGAAAAAGTCAAGTTATATATTGGGTAATCAGGAAGAAGAGTAGATATAATATATGGAGGGGTTGAAGAGAGGGCGGAATATGCAGCAATTATCAATTTTTTGGCGAAGGGACCCAAACAACTAAAATATTTGGAGTTCTTTTATTTTTCACACCACCTTGCAGCATGATGAACAGAAGGAACATGTTCATCTTCTTCCTCTCCCGCTGAGTAGCAAGGAAAGCTGTTGATCGGCAGAGGAATCAGTTCAGACAAATATTACTTTTAAATTATGTTTAAGTTTCCGAGAAGTCCCAAATTATTTAAAATATAGATAGTTAGTTAACATAATAAGAAATGAACTCAAATCAATCGATCAATGGGTGGGGTAAAAGTTAAATTTTTTACTTAAAATCCACCCACCCATTGTTTTCGTTGTGGGTGGGTGACAATGAATGGTGGGTGAATTTGACGATTTTGGTGGGTCAAATAATTTTTAAATAATTAAATAATGACGAGTCATAAAAATTTGCATAAAAATAATTTAATATCAATACTACATATTAAGAAAATTTAGAAATATTAAACATAGTTTATTGCATATATAACACCTATTATCTCATTTGCGAACACAAATTATTTTATTGATAGCTTTCATATTTAAAATAATCAAATTTATAGTATACATCAAGTAAAAATTATAAAGTTAATTGTAATTTAATTGAATCAGTCATGATTAAAGTTTTGAGATAAGAAAATATAGTATATTATTATAGAATGTGGATTAACGACTTAACATATCATGTGATTTTGCAGGTAATGACCCACCCGCCACCCGCCCAAGTTTAGTGAGTGACAAAAAAGTTGACTCACACCCATCCACCACATCAACCCAAACATGTAATGGGCGGGACATAATCGGGCGGGTTCAGATGGGTTTAGCGGTTGATCAGCCCATTGCCCATCTCTAACAGGTAGGCAAGACCATTGATTTATTGGGAGAGAACATGGTTTTGTTTTCTTTGCAGGTTTACTGTTGTGATATGTGGAAGTTGTTGGTGAATTAAATATCATATTTTTAGTATTGGACCTAACTTTCATCAGCTAACAAAGAGTGGCAAAATTAATAAATTGTTCATCTTAGACCTGCGTAGTTAATTCATAAATAATTGAATACTTTCATTCTCCGCCCAATTTATTACTTCTTTTTCATTTCCTCTTTTATTTTCTTTATTTTCATTAAACACGAATATAAGCATGGCACGAGCACGAATAAGCACGGCACGATGAAAATCGTGCCCGGGCCTAGCAAAATCAACAAATGGGATGACACGGCACGACACGAAAACTGACAGACTGTGCCAAGCACGACAGGAAATATACGGGCCCGAAGCGTGCCGGCCCAAACCCGGCTCAACGCCCATATACTCCCCAAGCCAAACTACTCGACTTGCCATCGTACAATTTTAAGTGATTGAGAATTGAGAACGAGGCAACGAAAATACAATTTAATAGGATATAAAATAAATAAAAAAGTTACCAGCCAACGGGTCGGGTAAAAGCTAGTATTAATGGAGGATTCAAAATTCCTATTTAACCTCATTCCCTTCCCATTCCCCCCTCGAAAGTTTGGACTGCCCGCCTACAAACAAAACCCTACAATCGGCGATCTGTGCATTTCCTCCTCCGACCAATTTTCCATCGCTCGCCCTTCCAGAGATTGCAGCAGCGCCGGAGGTGATCTATTGACCAATAGTCTCTCGCCAGTCGCCGGTGGAACTATCATCCGAAACAGGTGGACTCCTGTTTTCTAGATTCCGTTCTTGATCGATTTTTAGTTTCCAATCCCTTTTGATTTCCTGTTTTAGGTTGAATTGAATGGTTGCGTCGATTAGAAAGCCATGAACATTAGCAGCAGTAGCTGCGATTTGGGGAAAACTGTAAAAAAGTGCTGTGAAGAAGATAGTACTATAAACACCACTGACAGGTTAACCCATCTTCCAGAATTCATTATTCATCATATCATTTCGTTTCTCGACACAAAATCCGCGGTCCAGACCTCCGTGTTGTCTCGAGCATGGAGGTCTACTTGGAAACATATCTCTGTTCTCGATTTCGAAAGTTATTCATTCAAAAGTTATTCGAGCTTCGGTGGGTTTGTGGAGAATGTTCTGTCACTTCGCTGCCCCTCTAACGTCGTCAAGGTGACATACTATGACAACAATGAGGACGAGGAGGTGGAGGAGGAGGAAGGAGAAGGTAGTTTGTGTGGCAAGATCATCAAATATGCATTATCTCGCGATACTCAACATTTGGTGATTAGCCTTCACTATATTATGGACGTCGAAGACAGTTACAGATTCTGTGATTTGTTTGGCACAATCTTGGACTCCAAGCTCAAAACTCTAGACCTCTGCTCGGTCCAAATCGATAGTGGATTTGGATGCTCTGGTTTCAGATTGCTGACAGCATTAGAGGTGGGACATTGTGTATTGGCTTCTGATCAAGATGGGGACTTTGATCCTTTCTCTGGCTTTCCATGTCTGCAGGATTTGGTCCTGAGTCATTGCGACCATGATGGTCGTGGCGGTCTCGAGCCTGGAAGGCTCAAGGTATCTGGGGGGCAATTGCTTAACCTGATGTTGGAAGAAGTTTGGGCTTATAAGATGGAAATATTTGCACCAAGACTCAAGTTCTTCAGCCTTCAGCATGACTTGAACTTGCTGAAATTCTCCAAGTTAACCTTTCCTTCCCTCGACCATGCTGTTATTCGGATCAATGACAGCTTCGGATTCCTGGAGGGTAACAAGGAATGTGTGACACAAAGTTTTATCTGTTTGTTCCAAGGTCTGAGTAACATAAGTTCTCTCAAGCTGGACCCTTTCACCATTGAGGTACTTACTGTTCGGTTTATATCTTGGTAACAGAATTTTTTTGCTTCTAGGAAATATGGCCTTGCTTTTTTTCCCCTTACCCTGGTATCTGTTTATGTGCAGCTACTAAGCAATACTTGGGAGCTTCTGGAGCAAGAGCGTCCCCCCTTTACGAGATTGAAGTCCTTGATTGTGCGAGCTGACAATATACCTTACCTACTGAGCAATTACTTGCTTAAGGGGTCATCTAGTATAAAACCAATATTGTGTTTGAATAACGTATTGGTTGGTCATCTTACCATAGTTTCTGATTGGGGTGGGCAATATTAGGGTAAAATACCTCGGGTAGCACTTAAGTTTGAGAATTGGGGTAGACATACCACTTAAGCTTGAATAGGGCGTCGGGTACCACTGAACTCTATTATATGTGCACCCTGTACCACTTAAGTTTACTGTTATGTGCATTGTGTTAAAGTTGACAGAATATTCTTAGAATATTCCGTTTTCTAAATTTCATTATTTGTCCTTCTACTTTTCTTATTGTAAAAAACCATTTGGACTTATGGAAAACATAATTTTTTATTGTTTAATTAGAATCCTCTTTTGAATACTTGATAGCAAATCAATAATTCAATATAAAATTTAGAATCAATTATTGTTATAAGTATTTTTAATCATCATTATATGTTCATGTAAATTATAATTGAATAATTTTCTAAAGCAAATATATTTTACGAATTCTATCTCGATATAAATAATCTGAGAATGTTATATTTAGTTCTCTTACATCAGAATGATGTTGTGTAATTTTCCATGTTGAATTTTCTTTTAATTCTCTAATATTATATTTGTAGATGTTTCATATTAGTTAAATTTAGTAATTCTAATTCTCTTCCTATAATCATATTTTATTTTCTATATTTTTTTACTGAATGTTGTAGCTTTTATAATTCATCTATTACTTGGTTACTTTCCGTCTCTTTTTGTTCTAAATGTTTTTTTAATTACTGAAATATATTTTTATTCCTTATGATTGTGTTCTATTTATCTTTCTTTGGTTTTGATGTATTGATGATCGATTATGTTCTATTTTAACTATTTCTAATGGTGCTTCTAATTGAATTAGGGTGTTTAAATGGATATTCTAATATTAATTTTAAATATTTATTATTATATTCTAGTGTACTTATTATTTTTCTTATGTTCATTTAATATTTGTACTAATTTATCTATTTTATGAAAAATTTCGATTAGCCATTTTAGTAATAATATGTTTAGAAGGTTTTCTAATTTTTATATTAGATAAAACTTGTTGAAATATAGTTTTGAATGTTTTTAAAAATTTTGGGTACAAAAAAGTAATTAAAAGCTTGTGTTGGATGAAAAGTTGACGGATGCACATTTTGTTGACTTTAATGGTATCCGACGCCCTATTCAAAATTAAGTGGTATGTCTACCCCAATTCTCAAACTTAAGTGGTACCTGAGGTATTTTACCCGGCAATATTATGGTGAATTTCTTCTTTCCAGGTCATTTGGGAATAGGTCTTCAGTCAACTGACAATAATCAATTTTGAGCTAGCTTGCTGTAAAATTTCAAGTTAGTACTTGAGTTTGCCAAGTCGTAATTCACTCCACTATGTTCTAAGTATAGCTCAGAGCATATCTTATTGGAAAACTCTGTAAGTAGTATAAAGTTAAGATTATGTCGAGTATGCTCTGTGGTTGTAACATACCCGATTGTAATTATGTGAGGGTCCAATACATAACAAGTAACAACTAATAACTCACTAATCTTTGTACCCAAACAGATGGTCAGGTGAGTTTCATTCTATCATTTATCATAATTAACTTATTCATAATATAGAGGCTCTTTAACCTTTTCATGCATTATTTAGAAGTAATTTTATACTTATTCAAGTTTGTTGTATTAATAATAGTTTGTCTACCGGTATTTCATCATAAACTTTGATGTTGTTTTTGCCGTAAAATTTTATGACGAAATTATTACGTAAAGGGCGGGATCAAAGCTAACTGCAGAGTGGTTGGTTGACAAATGACTGGCACCTTTTTATGGATTTATGAACTTTCATTAAGATCACATGCAAGAAACTGCAAATCACTTTTAAGGTTGTATTACAATATAAAGAAGCACAAATACTTTCTGAAAATTTGTTGGAACAATATAAAATATATAAATTACCAAAAAAATAAAATATAACAGACCAAAAATAATTTACATTAATAAAATTGACTAATATGAAAAAAACCCACCCGCCCAAGGGCTGGTTCAAAGCTATTTAAATTAAATGAACAATCTACCAATATATAATGATAGAGTTGAGAGATTTCAAATTTCTTTCAACAAGAGCGCAAGTAGGAAGAGTATTTTTTTTTTACGCCTTTATAGTTATTTGTCTTATTCATAAGGGGAAAATCAATTGTAAGATTTGACCCATGATCAATTTAAATAAGAACATGAACTTGATCAATTTAAATAAAAAAATTACCAATTACACCACAAAAACTTGATCTATCTTTTTAAACTAAAAACATACAAAAATCTAAAATCTTGAAAACTCATGAATTTTCCACTACGGTTAACTAGCCGACAAACTCTTTTCTAAGTATTTCATTGGTATTTGATACATTAATTTTATATTTTTATTATTCTTTTTAATTCAATTTTCACAATTAATTTAGCTGCTGGATAGAAATACGCATTTCAAATATTTTGAAAACTTTAAAATATATATCATAAATACTTCATATTCAAATGACATTCCAATCAACGAGTTGTACACTAAACTAGTTAAAATAATAGATATCAAAGGCAATCCAGAAGCGCAACGTCCAAGTAAACGAAATGATACTTCAATCCATTGTGCACACTTTGCTTAAACAAAGCACCCTTGTAGCCCTAAATTCTTAATTTGTCAAAACTCTCCACCTTTCGCTTGTCCATGTTAGTGTTGTGGTATATGATCCATGATTAAATCTCTCCCAACAACTCGAGCTATTGGGATCAACTGGTTCTTGACATGGTATCAGAGCCTTCTGTGACCGAGAGGTCTTATATTCGATTCCCGGTGACCCCCATTTGTGAAGCACATGGTATTCTTGTCTTCAGACATGTGCAAACTTCAAACCCTTGTGAGTGGCTTTCGTTTGAGGGGGGCGTGTTAGTGTTGTGGTATATGATCTATGATTGAATCTCTCCCAACAACTCGAGTTATTGGGATCAACTGGTTCTTGACAATAATGTGTCCAACTAATGTGAACCAAGAGTAGTTATAAAAGTGGTGCATAACCTTAGAATCATACCCCAAATCTATGACCATGATTCCATTCTCAAAACATAGTTGATCCCCTTTCGGAAGAACACAAAAATTGACTTTTATTTGGAAAAAAAATGACTTCTTAACTAAGCTATACGATTGATTTTCTGCACAACGACAAATTAATTTCATCTACTTGCGAAATATATGATTATCTTTATTTTAATTAGGGTTTGAGATCCCTCTGGAAAGAACACAAAAAACGACTCCCTGTTTTTATTTGAAAAAAAAAAAGACTTCTTAAGCAAGTTGCGATTGATTTTCTGCATAACGACAAATTAGTATCACCTAGTTGCCAAATGTATAATGATCTTTTTATTTTAGGTATATGCATGGATCAGATTAGGATAGAAGCAACTAATGAGACTGATAGCGCAGCTCTGTATAGTTTCTGGTGGTTGAGGTAACTTTTTGATAATAACGAACAAAGCTAACCAATAATAATAATAATAATAATAATAATAATAATAATAATAAACACACACATGGTAGCGACATCGTAGAGAGCTTCTTCAAGTAGCAGTAAAGAGAACAATCATTCAAGTTACATATATACAACTTATTAATCCAACAATCATTTTACCAACAAATATGGACTTTGTCTATAATCTTTATGAATGTGGGATTTTGAGCCAAAATCTTTGACTAAAATAGCAAGAGCAAATGATCTTTTAATTTCCACCATTGCAAGTGTGTTTGAATTGCAGTGGTGTGTGAGATAATTGCAAAAGTGGTTGAAGTGGCAGCAGAGGTCACACTTGAAATTGCATAACAATGTCATTGTTGGAGATGCTCGCTAAGACCATCTGCAACGGCTTTCACTTTCTTATTTCATTTTGACGTGGCAGCTTGCTTTTCCTATTTCATGGATGTAGATCCTATTTCACGAAGTGAAAGATTTCACTAAATGAAATAGCATATGACAGAGTGAATGGGTGGGAAGTGGGCCCCTTCCCACTTTTTGCTCCTTGGTTTTTTTTTTTTGATTATTTGAATTGAAAATTGTGTTCTTTTGTTTTAACTACTAATTATTCTTTGTTGATTATAATTTAAGACAATTTTTTTAACTATACTAGTTAAATTTATTAATTTTTTATTAATTAATTTTTTGAATTACGAAAGCGCAATACGAAATCAAATACACATACACATAGGTTTGATCATTTGGAGACGATTAGAAGATAAGAAGTACGATGATTAATCTATTATCGTTTTTATGTATTTTTATTACATGTGTTTATATGAAATAGTAATTGTGTTATGCACGTGTGTTTATTTGAAATTGTGATTGTGTTATGTAATTTATAATTTTTTATGTAATTATTTGATACCACTTAAATTGGTAAGATAATATAGGTTAGATAAAATGTATAGTTGTATTAAAAAATAAGTTGGGTCCACCATATGAAATAGATAGTGGATTTCATTGATGTAGAGTAGATGGAAGTGATATGTAATGGAATAGAAAAGGTTGATGATGTGGCAGGAGGGGCTACATATGAAATAGAAATAGTATTTCATGGATGTGGATGGTCTAAGTAGCATGCATGTTACTTCAATAGTAAGAATTACTACCCATGTAACATTCGTGTTAGGTGGATAGTAAGAAATGTGACATCAATAGTGATATTTTTGTTGCTCCATTAAATTATATATCATTTTGTTTCTCAAAATATATCAAAATAAATATCATTGATAATAATTCATGCAATTTAATGTGCAATTTTTTTTCAATTTAAAATTAAGATGAAGAAGATGCAATGCAAGATGATTAAAATAAACAGGAAACTAGAAAAGATATTTTAATCTCAACCAATGAATTGATGAAAAAACTAAAATTTAGTTACAAAGTGATGAATATCCAAAGATTATACAACCCGACCAAACATGGGTCGATTACACACTAACGGAGCTAGCTAGGTGGTCTATTTTGGGTCCATATGAACCCCATTTAGAAAGTGAACATTCACTAATTAAAAATGTCTGAACAAAGTAACGTGACATCAATTTTGGACCACACTAAAATATATTTCTGGTTATGCAACTAAAATGACACCAGAACAAGGTAAGGTCACATCAATTTTGCCACATTCTAACACAAATGTTTTCTTTTATTGACTGAGCGTGACATGACGACGAAAAGAAAGAAACTTCAAGCAATAATTTCGTAACAAAACAAATAATCTTTTATTCTTCATTTTGGACAACGGACGGCCGGCTGGCCGACGTTGAACTTCGATGTGCTCAGCAAAGCAACTGTGTGTTCTTTAATATTTGGCGTCACGATTACTTAACAAGCCGGGACTTGGTGAGAGCA